TTTTAAAGTCTTTTTTATAATATATTCATATATTTATTTATTAATAATTACTAAATAGATCTTAGTAAGCGCTTATTTAGAGTAATTATTATAATTACTTTATTATTTAATTACCTTTTTATCTATATATAACTTATTTTATAGTTCTTTTATTCTTTTAAATAATATATTTATTCTATTTAACGTATATATAGTGCGCTATAGCCGCTACGGGCCTGCGGGGCGGGCCCTAGTTTTAGTTATATACGTTAAGTCGTAATACGAGGCATTCCGCTAGCTTTACTTTATTTATAAATAGTCTTTTTTATATTTATTTATTTCGTAGCTTTAAAAAGTAACCTATATTAATATAATAAACATAAAAAAGGTCCGCTAGCCCTAGGCTAACGGCTTTATAAATAATTTATTATATAGCAAATAATATAATTTTCTAAGCAGTTACTAAGCTTTTTTTTAAAACGTAAATAAAAATATAAAAGTCCTCTTTTAACTATATTAATAGCTAATCCTAAGCGGGGAGTATAGCCTTTAAGTAAGTAAAGTTATAGTAACTCTAGCCACTCTAAATCGTTATAATAATATTACTCGCTATTAATATAATAATAATTACTTAACTCCGGGCCGCTATTAAGCTTATTTTATAATTAATTAATCTTTTAAAAGTTTAGATAATATAAGTAATAACTTCTTTTATAATCTATTTTTTAAAACCGTTAAAGTTAACGATAATACTATTAATAAACTATATAATAATTAAAAAGATATTTTTCTGTACCTCGTATTATTTAACTTCTTTTATAAAGGCTATTAAAATAGATTTTATAATAGATCTACTTAGAATAGATATAATAAAGGCTACGGGCCCCTTAATTAAAATAGGGGCGTTAATAATAATATTAAACTAGCTTTTTATTAAACTAAGCCGGGTTAGCTATACCTTAGTATCGTAGCGTTATTTAACTTTTAAAATAAAGTTCGGCTCTAGAGGTATCCTAGAGCCTAGTTTAGGGTCGGCTTAATTAACTAATATTAATCTAGTACTTAGTAGCGGCTATAAAGCTATTACGGATACGGGCTCTAAAAAAAGAGGTAAAGAGTTTTCGGCTATTAATACTTTAATAATAAGCTTACTTATTTATTAATAGTAGATATTAAGAAAAATTAGGCGAGAGGGAAGTTATTGTAGCTTGCGGTATGCAACTACAATAATGTAGAAGCTTCGAGGTTATTATAAGACTCACTCTCTACTTAGGGCCATAGTGCGTACGATGTCACGGAAGATGGCAATGAATATTCCGTCTTTACCAATGGTTACGAGAGGGGTCGAATCGCTGTGACTAGGGTCATCATCAAAAAACCAAAGACACTCGAGATCAAGACGGCATATAACGGCCAGGATAAGACCGACTCGAAACTACACCTTAATCAAATTCTGATGGCGCTGTGGATGGAAAAGGGAGGCCTACGAGCTTCATCTTTAAAACGCGTCAAGTTTCTTGAGGTGGCAAACGACAGCGTCAAGTCTGCCATACAAGCAGCCCGACAAGAATTGGAGCTAGAGGATGTTGATGACTTCGAGTTGGACGTGGAAGACGCCGATGAGGATCTCTTGTCTAACTTCCGAAACTGTGTGTTTGGTAAGGTCGTCGCCAGATTATGTCAGGCTTCTGGGCATACACCGGAGTCTATTTCAGTTGAGCACACGGCTGGATGGGACGATATCACCTGGGATCTCGCGTGAGACTCGCCGGCTGCCGGGTGTTCCCAGACCTTTTCTTTCACTAGACGCGCTTAGTTATTCTAGACTTTGAGGTTTTTAGTCAACATTAAATAAACAATGGCTAAGGCGCTAGCATCAACAGTTCTTAAACCGACATTCAGATGTTGATAAAAGAAGACTAGTTTTCAAGGCAACCACATCCGTCTATAACACTACTCAGTGATAACACAGAACTTTCTTTTCCTGTTTTCCTACAAAATACGACTAACTACCTTCCATAATTTGAAACCTCCAGTCAACTAGCTTCTGTTATGATTAAGGTAGGTATATCATATGAAGCGTCAACGCGGCCGAGAATGTAGTAGAAGACAGTGAACGCAGTTTTACACTTGCCTACGACCGCCCTAGACGTGTTATACAAGTAGAAGGGCCGTTTGTATGGCCTGACCACCTTGCATATCCATAACTCTTCAAAGTATACAATCAAACCAGGTCTTATTTATGCCATCTTCCGATGCCAATTATCTGAAATGACGGTAGTCCGAGGACTTCTTAATAGGCTCGAACAAGGGCTCAGAAAAGCTGCCAAAGTTACATTACAGCTTCATACATTCGTTTGTCTCGTGGGTGGACTGAAAAACGGACCTGCGTAGTGGTAAAGCTTATGAAAGCCCCCTCGTCAGTCAGACCACCTCATTTCTCGGTGATCGCTTTAGAATGAACTCCGAAAGAAGGAAATTTCGACAGGTGGTAGCACATAATCGTCCAAGATGGTTGAAAAGGAACAGGACTAGTCCCAGATCTCTGTAGATCAGCTGAGGCAGACAATTCACCGGTTTCTCTTCCGATTGAATAGCTCAACCTGGTAAACTCTTTCTCTCTCCATTGACTTTTCCCTAATTATCTTATTCTCATGAGTCTTGCCAATCGATAGGAAAAACATTCTGCATCACTACATAAGTACATAGATTGACCTAAACAGTTTAAGGATAGCTGCTACAAGGGCACGACCAATAGTGCAATGCGAGGGACAAGATGATAAGGTACTACTTGAATTAGTTAAATAGCTGCTTCGTTCACCGTGGCAAAAGTATTTAGGTTATGATATGTGTCAGTAAGTGAGCGAGTGCGAGAAAGAGAGAGAAGAGAAGATTACATATAGGACGCGAAGTCTTAAATATGAAGTTTCAAGTCGACGATTAGTCGAGACATTAGAATACACGCATAAGATAGATAGATATGGACAGAACTGTTTAACCTTTCCCCTTTCCTTTCTCAAAAAATACGCGAGTACTTTCTCCTCAAATACCTAGTACGCTCAGACATTTCGGCAGGACAATTGGCTAAGCAGTTTGGGTGGTACGGCAGAGGAGAGTTCTGTTACAGGTTGAATCATCTCCTATTCCGCCTTGATTTCTCTAAATATCTTTCCAATACCGAGGCAGCAAAGCGCCGAAGAGCAGTGAAGGCAGCGTGGCCTGCAGAGACATGCACACACTTCACTGTTAGTATACTGACTTTATGTAAGTAATCTAGGGTCACTCTAGCTATCCTGATTGTCATATCTGGTAGAAGCCTTACTCATAATTATGAACGTAGGCCATAGAGATCATGGTGGACTTTGATCTAGAAAGTAGCAAACACTATATATAGTCTTTCGCGCCCAAGACTTCTCATGGGGCCGAGCCTGGGCACAACAAGTGGCAGAGCGATAGTCTACAGCAACCCTCCTCACAGACGAAAAATGAAGGAGGAGATGGAGCCAATCAATCAGATCATCTTGATGAAGTGATGAGAAGTCAGGCTATCAAACACTGCTGTGAGAAGAGATTACAGGACGTGGTTTTGGCGGTGCTGCAAACGCCCAGAGCCATGACTGATCTGCAGTGGTTTCCTCGCTTTTCGGCCTCTTATCAAGCTTCCTTAGGTCGAAAAGCAGGGAATGATGGATTGGTCTCTTCATTAAGATGAAAGAAACCTTATTGCTCAAGTGGGCATTCATATACCGATGTGCTCTAAGTCCCTGACACTCCAAATGACACCTAGCTGCAAGAGCTATTGTCAAAGCTCACATCTGTAAACTTACTCTAATCGGAGGTTCACTCATAGAGTTTCTCCTAAATCGTCATTGTACCTTAACGTCGGTGATTTCTGATTTTCCGTGGCGGAATATTACTCGTCTCTGAGAAATGGCGGCTTCTACCTCTAGGAGTGGTATTTTTGGAGTGGCATCGCGATGAGACGGAAGCCGGCATTATCGTAGTCAGGAACTCTTTTTTTCAGGGCGAACCGAGTCAGTAGATATTACTGGACCTCCTGGCGGTCATGTTTCTTGGCGGTCTGAAGCAAATTGAGTTTCATGGTGTCGCTGTCAATCTCAGTAAGGTTTGTCTATGCGCCAAGTGCTTTACTTCATTAAACTGAGTTTCTGCTCAGACTTGTGTTCAAACTCTAATCATGCCTTTTCCGGATCAGCTCGGTTGACTGAAATGAAAAACGAGCGAATTTCGGCGTCTCCAATGAAAGTCTAACATAGCCATTTTGGGCATTTGTAAGCCTGTCGTCTCATGTCACTCCAATGTTGAAGGCGGGAAAGTTCAACCACCATCAAATCAGCTTTTGGTCGCATAGTTCCTGCAACTCCATCCGATTGTGATTAGGCTTTTGTCTCAGTCTTGGTTGTCAGCAAAATCGAAAATGGCCAAACAGACCTTTCCCAGAGGTTTTGTCGCCCCAAGAGTTCGTCCCAGAACTTTGCTTTTCCTGGCTTTTGCTGGCATTGTCATTCATTTTTGCTTCAAACTAAGAAACGAATCGAGTGTGCAGCTTGTCTCCTGGCACGATGTTACACACGAACCTTCTCCCGAGGGCCTTGTCGACCAACCGCCCGTCTCCTCTATCGAGCAGCCCATGCCACCTATCGATCTATCCAAGAACAAAGACGAAGAATTGCAACAAGAAAAGGCAGAAGCATCGAAACAAGAGGCTGAGAGCTTGAAACAAGAGGCTGAAGCATTGCAACAAGAGGCGGAGGCATTGAAGAAGGAGGAGGAAGCATTGAAAAAGGAAGAAGAGGCTCTCAAACATGAAGCAGAGGCTGTAAAGCAGACCGAAAAGAAGCAGAAACAGGAAGAAGAAGTAAGGAAACATCAGGAAGAAGAACACGAACAGAAGCTACGGGACCAATTTGCTAGGGAATACGAGGCGGCTAAGAAGTGAGTATTGTACAAATGGCCTGCCGTCATTGTATACGCACACAGAGCTGACTTGACTTTGATATTAGGCTTCCCGGTAGTGGCGCGATCTATGGCAACACCTTGAACTCCCTGATCGACACAGACAACAGAACAGATATTCATGCGGCGCGATTACGAGAATCCAGCGAGGAAGAAAAGCCATATTCAAATCATCGACCTGTCCATTTCAACCCGTATCCCCATTATAACGGAGAGAATTGGAAAAAAGAGGAACATCGCCCATATGTCCCATGTGTCGGTGCTACTGGGGAGCTTGTGGAGGACTTACTTGTGTTCAAGGGCAGGCCTGCCAAGTTTCCGAAGCCGTCCTTTGGCAGCTTCGATATTTTTAACATGGACGGCAATCTCTGCTATGAACGCGAAAGTAGACTGGGACCTTACGGTCACACATTGCAGATCAAAGCGAACAGTCTACCAGTAGATTGGGACAGCGTCGATTGGGGTAGCCTTCAAGATAACTGCGCCAAACGGAACGCCGCTCGTTTTGGCACTGGAAAGCTCAACGCATATGTTGACACCGTTTACGGAAATTCAGGGACCGCTCAGAGACGAGAGGCAAGAGCAGATGGAGAGGAGGTTTCGAACAAACTGTCAACAATATCAATAGGGACTGAGTCCCGAACTGCTGTTCTGCTTCGCACTTTCACTGGCAAACGATATACGGAAAACGATAAACAAGCTATCAGATCGTTGATTTCCGAGCTTTCCCTCCGTTCGGGCGGCGAGTACCAAGTTTTTCTTCTATTACACGTTCACGACCGTTCAGTCAACCTGAAGGGCGACAAGACGGCGTATCAACATGTTCTGGATGAACATGTACCTCGAGAGTTTCACGGAATCACTAAACTATGGAACGATCAAGTCGTATGGGACATCTATACAGCTCTCACCGAAGACGACGAGAAAAGTGTTCACCATGCACAATGGCTATCAGTTCAGAAGTTCAGCATGGATCATCCCGAATTCGATTATATATGGAATTGGGAGATGGATGTAAGGGTCGTCGGGCATAACTATGATTTCTTGGAGAGTCTGAGGGGATTCGCGAAAAAGCAGCCACGGAGGGGTCTTTGGGAGCGCAATGAGCGTTACTACATTCCTGATCATCACGGAACGTGGACTGAGTTCCGCGACTATGTCGAGAAGCAAACCGCTGGTACCCAAGTTTGGGGTCCACCGAGCGTACCCTTCATCAATCCGGTCGGACCAAAGCCGCCTACTGGAGATCCCCGAGATGACCAATATGACTGGGGAGTTAATGAGGAGGCAGATCTTATCACTCTCGGTCCTATTTTCAACCCGGTCAATAGTAGCTGGATTTTCGCAGACCATATTTGGGGTTACAAAGATCAACAACATCCAGCAACGTCACTACCTCGGCGGTGTACTATTGTCACACAATCGCGCATATCTAAGCGCCTTCTGGATATCATGCACGTTGAAAATCTTCGCGGTAACCACATCGCCTCGGAAATGACGCCTCAAACGGTCGCACTTCTCCATGGGCTGAAAGCAGTTTTTGCTCCCCATCCCACTTGGTTTGATCGTCCTTGGAGCGGAAAATTTCTCGATCATTGGTTCAACCCTGGGCCAAAAGGTGAAAGTGGTGGCCGAGGGAGTGCAATGGGCTACGGAAGAGAACGCAGATACCAAGGGATTACTTGGTACTATCGTGCTGAGCCTCCTTCTAGGTTGTACAACAATTGGATGGGGTATATAGATACCGATGTTGGGGGTCGAGACTGGGAGATAACGAACGGCAGACCTTGCTTGCCGCCCATGATTTTGCATCCCATCAAGGATGTCAATCCAACCAGCCCGGGATTTGCGACTAAATTTGAGCTTTTCTACGGCTAATAGCCTCCAACGAGAGGAATCATAGTGTGATAGAGTTTAATCATGGATAGAACTCAGTCATGAAAAAAGTCCCTACTGCCGTATGTGATGAAGAGTGGGTTTCATCCTGTGAAGAACATGTAGATTCGTGGCCGTTAAAAGGCCTGTCAGATCGGAAACGTATTTTAGTAGAAAACACGAAGAACAAGATGCAGATCTAATAATATTACAGGCTTAAGGCTAAGAATCGTAAATTCAAAGAGTAGGAAGGATAGATGAAAAATACTTAATCTTCACTTCCTATAAGTACTAGTAGTCAGCCACGTCAAATCTTCCACTGATGTTTCCGCTATTTGATCCGTAGCTTTTGCAGCGCTTACACCTTTCTTCAACGATTCTCATGGTCTATGCATGTCAGTAATGTTTGTTACGGCGCTTATTTATCGAAGAAAGTATAGATTGACTTCAAAAGTTCATTATGTAGTCCACGGAGTATCTGCTTGGACTATTAGCATCAAAAGGCTTCCATGTGATATCAATAACAGCCGTACTATTTATTTCACGCGATCTGGAGCATAGAGGTAAAATACCCACTGACTGGTCGATCCATTTGAAAGTCTAGTGTTCTGATGCAACATTATGCCCACGCTTGAAGTCGCAAAGTTGAGATCCTTTCCCTTACTAACCTTCTCTAGATATATGATCATGAGTAGGAATAATAAAGATATGTCCTTAGTTGGAATTAAGATAACTTAGGTAGACCAAAGAGATTTCACATAGTTAAAGCATGATTTTGGACAGCACTCAGACTGCTTTGCAAAACAAGGAACAAGTAAGGGGTCATATTGGAAGAATCTCTTTGCTAATATTCCCCCAGTAGTTGCTTCAATGCAGAATCTACCTTGACCATATTAATTGAGAAAAACATCCGTACTACTGGTATTGAGAACTGTCACGCTCATCATGGATGAGTCTTCCTTTATCTATGATTGAAGGCAAGTATATTGCCCTCTACGGACACTTCGCAGTAGCCAGCTTGGTTGACTGTTTGACGACACCATCAAGCTCTGTAATAGAGATCTCACCCTCGCCCGGGCCATCACTGCTCATGCTCAAGTAGTTGTTGATGATCATAGTGAACTTGCCTCCGTTAGAGTTGCAACCAGACTGGAATTCAGTGGAAAGATTGTTGGTAAACTCGGTTGCAGCGTCAATCGGTGCTTTAAAGGGCCATTCCAGGTTGATAGTTCCTCGGCTTCCTTTGAACTTGTATTGGTTCTGGTTCTTGGCCCAGGCCCCTTCCGTCAATCTCACGTGTCCCTTATATGTTCCGCTGCGAATTATCAGTCTGTGAAACATTTCTAAAAGGTTTGCCTACATAAACGTCGCGGCCTGTGTAGATCTTGATGCATACCTCAAAATAACCAGCTGTCTATCAGCAGCTGTCTGGATGTCGACTTCGATCTGACACTTGACCTTTACTTTGTGGTCTCCAGCCTCTGCGAGAGATAAGCAGTGATTAGTATATGGCGCGGACGTTTCTTCTCGAAAAACGTACTGATCGTGGTGTTCAAGGCTTCATACAGCACATCAAAGCTGCCACTGGGGTCGAGATTCCCACTCAGAGACCCAACAGGACAGCCCTCTCCAGTGTATCTAATACTAGTGACGGCAAGAGTAGCATTATCTCCAGAAATCTGACGTCCTAGGATGTTGCGTGGCGGACTGGCAACAGCAGCACCGGCAAGGAACGAAACTAGGATGGTAGGTATGTAAACCATCGTTGCGATGCAGTCAGAAAAGCCGTGAAACCTAAGGCAGCACAATGAAGGATGTCGTGATGGTACGAAAGATTTCATCCTCAGCAATCGATCGATCACCAGCTTGATACTTATAACTCTCTAAAGAGCAAAGGGAAACGTATGATAATCAAGGTGGCAGAAGCTTAAGTTTCGGGAAGCCCGAATCTCAATTTCACCAAGTGGAGCTGACACGAACAGATCTACATTGGCCAATTTTCACATTCAACTGACCCTTGCTGGATGAAGGAGTTGTCTAATTGATTAACATATTTCTGTGCAGATTCTATAGAACACAATGCCTCGTTGAGTTGGAATCTGCGCCGGTACGGTCTTAGAGGATTATTACGAAAACTCGTATCATTTGTAATTTTCCAGCTAGTTCCTAATCCTATTAATTTAAAACAAAATCGTTTCCTTATTTTTATACTTCTCTCTAATTTATATAATAGTTTTTTTTCTAATTTTACTAATATAAATAATTAACTCTAATAAAATTAAGTTTTTAAAAAGAATTATAAAGAATAGTATATTTTGAATTATATAATACATACAATATTCTTAAAGTACGTACTTAGCTTAATATAGTAATTTTAATATAAAAACTATTAATACATATATACATAGCGAGCGGGCTATTATAACGAGCGGGCTATATTTTCTTCTCTCTTCTCTTTTTTTTTATATTAACTTTCCTTTATATATAACTATAAGTTCATTTTAATATAAAAGCCGTATTATTCTAATATTTAGAAAAATTAAAAAAAGACCTAAAAATCTTTATATAAAAATACCCTTTATATAGAAATAGCCTTTATTTATAATATTTTAAGATTAATATTTTAATATTAATATATTAAATAAATATTTTAATATAAAACATATATGAAGTTAATAAAATTAACTTTTTTTAAAAGAAAAAAACTATAATTTTTAAACAAATTATTAAGTTGATGAATTAAGGATTCTTATAATCATCTATTAATATATAAAATATAGTTTATTACTTTTTTAATAGAAGTAATATGATATATATCCTATTATAATAAATAGAGAGGTTTATAGAACACTAACTATAACTAAAAACGCGTTTTTAATATAGAATTAATTATTAAAAAGTGTTAATCAAGAATTTTATAATTATTTAAACTTAGTTTATTCTTATATAAAATATAATCATAACTACGTAGCTTAGTAATTTAGGTCTAGGGATTCTAAGCGTCTTATTTTATTTTTAATAGAATTTTAAAAAAGGTAGTTTAAATTTATTTATAGTTTACGTTTTTCGGTTTATTTGATTAATAACTACATATTTAAAATATATACTTTATGGCCCCTCGGTAGGGGTAGCTTTATATAGTTAATAATAATATTAATTTATTATATATATATGTATTATAAATCTATATTATATACCGGACCTATATAATATATATAATTATATAATTAACGCTTATATAACTAAATTAATAATATAATTAATTATCGTAGTTAGTTTACTAAATAGGGCTAAACTAATTTAGTTTAAAAGCGCTATTACTTAGATATAAATATAAAATAATTATATAATATATATAAAATAATATATAAAGAGTTAACCTAAAACTTATTTATTTAGAAATTTACTAGTATTATATAAGCGTATATATAATTAAATAGATAAAATAGATAGTACGTAAATAAATATAAAAACTTATAATATATAAAATCTTATCTCCCCCCAATAGAGCAATCCGCCGGGGCTATACTATATATTACGTATTAAAAAAAACTAGGTATATTACGCTCTAAACTTAGTTATTAATCAAAACTCTTAACTTTTTATTACCTATTTAAAAGGTAAGCTTTATTTATTTTAATATATATAAAACCTTTTAATACTAACCTATATAAGCGGCTAGGTTTAATATAATCTCTTTTTTTATATAAATAATATTATTACCTAGGGGGGTTTATAAAAGCCGTTTTAAATATTAATTTATTATTTTAACTTTATATATTTCTAGCCCGTTTATTTTATTATTATAATTAAGCCGGTATCGATATATTAGATTTTAATATTAATATTAGCCCGGCTATTTATAACGTTTATATTATTATTTAATTAAATTCTATATTATTAAAAAGTATTTTGTTATTTTTTAAATATATTTATATTAATTATAATAGCTATAGCGTCAAGCTAATTAAAAAAGAAGTTTAGTCTAAAGGAAGTAGATTTATTAAAAAGTATTATTAAAATAGGTTCTCGTTAATATAATTTAACTAGCTAGACTCTTAACTAGTTCCGACTAGTTATTTAATTAATTATTTAGTTAATAGTTTATATATTAATAAGTTAATTTAATAGGTTTATTTAATAATTTATTTAGTTCGAATAGAGCTTATAAATAATATAAAAAGTAATAAAAATAAAAATAATTTTTATAAGCTTTAATATAGTAAAGTAATTAAATATTAGCCCTTTTAGCCTTTTTTTAAAAAACCTCTACGTCGCTATTAAAATTTAAAACCTCTATAGTTAAAGAAGGCCGCTTCTAACTTTTATAACTAACTTTTATAATTAAAGTTTTTAATTATTATTATTATATAATAAAAAGGGTAGTTTATTTATCCCGAATTATATAGCGGTTTTCGTATTAAAATTACTATATTAAATTAAATATATATTTAGAGTGTATTATATATATTAAATAGTTTGTCTATTTAGCTAGTGGTTTATATATTAATAGGTTTATTTAGTAGTTTATTTAGTTTAAATTAAGCTTATAGGTAATATAGGAAGTAATAAAGATAAAAAGAATCTTTACGAGCTTTAATATACTAAATATTAGCCCTTTTAACCCTTTCTCTAAAAACCTCTATATTACTATTAAAGTTTAAAACCTTTGTGGTTAAGGGCTACCTCCGACCTTTATAACTAACCTCTATAATTAACTTTTTTAGCTACCGCCGCTACGTAAAGAGTAGTTTACCTATCCCGAATTATATAATAGTTTTTGTATTAAAATTACTATATTAAGTTAAGTACGTACTTAGGGTATATTACATATATTATATAGTTAAAAAGTATATTATATTATATAATTTCTTTTAAAAGCCTAATCCCGTTAAAATCGATCTTTTATATTTATAAAGCCGGAAAAAAACCACTATATATATTAAATAGTTAAAAAGTATATTATATTATATAATTTCTTTTAAAAGCTTAATCCCGTTAAGGTCGATTTTTTATACTTATAAAGCTAAAAGAAATTACTAAATAAAATCTTATATAGTTTTAATATAAGTAGCTAGATATTAGCTCTTTTAGCCCTTTTATTAAAAGCTTTTATTATTATAGCTAGCTAGTTATAATAAATATATTAATAGAACTTAAATCTATAAAGACTAAGTAAATAGTATTATAATTATAAATTATAAAATAAATAAGGGTTTAATAATTAATTATAGTTTTATTAAAAGGGGGTTTTTAATAAAAATAATTAAAAGCAATTATAAAATATAATATTAAGTTAATTATTAAAAAAGCTATAAAAAGTCTATTTTAAGCCCAGTTTAAGTCTATATTATATATAAGTCTCGTTTTTAAATATATCTTTTATTTATATATACTCCGTTTATTAATAATTATTAAATAGATATTAATAAGCGTTTATTTAAAGTAATTACTATAATTATTTTATTACTTAATTACTTTTTTATTTATATATAACTTATTCTATAGTTCTTTTATTCTTTTAAATAATATATTTATTCTATTTATTTATATATATATAGTATACCGTAACCGCTACGGGCCTATAGGGCGGGCCCTAGTCTTAGTTATATATATTAAGTCGTAATAATACTTTAAAATTTACTTAAAGTAGTATTATATATTATAATTATATATTTATTTACGTATACGTTTATAAATTATATTATAATTAATAAATAATAAAATATTTTAATAAGATATTTTTATATTTATATAAAGATATCTTTTTACCTACCTAGACCTTTCATTAAATAAACAACTTCTTATATAATAATCTAACTATTTTACTCTTTTTAAATATATAAACCTTATTTATTACGCTTATTACCCCTTATATTTATATATTCCTGCTTCTATATTCATATTCATTTCATTTATTCTTTTATTAAAATAACTTTTATAACCTCGTTATAAGCTATTGTGCTAGAGAAGTCGATG